AACGAAATATATTTGCACAATGGGTGACCCTTTGTGTGGGATTATTTGGTGACCTCTTGTGGCAGCATTGACAATGTACTCTAATAAATTTTAATAAGGCAAATATTGAGAATGAGAGTAAAATTAGAGCAGAGAAGTTCAAGTACTAAACAACAACGAACATTGGATACATAAATTTTTTTTTAACTTTTGAATTTAAAATTATAAGAAAAATAACATATTTAATTAAAATAATATATTTATATATTAATACTAGTATTTTTAACTCATCTACTATACGAAAGTATTTTGTCAAAAATATAAATTTTTGAAAAATTATTTTAATGAATTAAATATTTATAGTGTATATAAATTTTAAAAGAAAGATTTTGAATAAAAGATAAATGGTCACAATAAAATATTATAATAAAGAAATATATGTGTATATCAAAAAATTATATTTTTTTATTGGAAGAAAAATTAACAAATAAGAAATAAAATATTTTTTTAGATTTTATATCTTTTCAAAAACTTTTTTAAATGTAAATAAATGGTAAGACTAATATTATATATACTAATAATAACAATCAATATTACAAAAAGGTCAGACGTTAGACGCACACGCACGGGTATGGGACGGAGTTGGTACTTAGATACTCATCTCGTATTCATCCCCATTAAAATCTGAGAGTTAAATACCCTATGCATTGTGAAAAAATTTTATGGATGCCCATTGAGTACTTTACCCATTGTCATCCCTAATTGATATTAATAAAAAAATTATAACATAATAATTAAATAATTGAATATTAATAATCATAAAATTAAGAATATAAAAAATATATAAATATAATATTATTATTTAAGTTTGTTTAATTTTAATTGCGACCTATTTATTATTCAAAGACTTAACCATTTTTCATGCAACAAATATAATAATTTTTTGTTAAAATAAATTTATTATTTAAACATGTAAATAAATAAAACATAATATATTAATATAATAATTAAATATTAATAATAATAGAGTTAAGAATATGAAAAATATATTAATATAATATTATTATTTTATTTTTAAATTTTAGTTTGTTTAGTTTTGGTTGCATCGTAATCCTATTCAAAGACTTAACCACCTTTTAATTTGTTCAAATGTAACAAATATAATAATTTATTATTTAAACATGTGTCTAAATATTATAGGTTAGAATTTTTTATGTACGATACCTAAAAATTTTTAGGAGTACCACAAAATTTACCTATTCCTCTCCTAACAACTTTTTTTTACAAACTAATAAAGTATAATTATTATCATAATAAAGATAATTCTTTTAAAAATACATCTAATAAGATAAAAAGTTATAATTTTTTCATCTAAAAATAAATAAAATAAAATAACATATATATATATATATATATATATATATAAAGAAGGATCTTCTCACACTACTAAAAACTCTTATACTTGATCTGAGCTTTTTATTTAACTTACATCCAACGGTCAATGAAAACTTAGGTATCTTTCTCACTTTTCTCTCCATAGTGAAACTTTTCATTACCTCAATCTCCTTTTCTATTTACTAGGTAACAACATTGCTTCATTCATTTGAATGAAGATTGTTTTGTTATTGCACCCTCTAAACTCAAGTTTTAACGTTACAATGAATTAATTTTTATTTACAAGAAAAAAAAACTCACAAAAAAAGTTTTACATTTTAAATTCATAGTTTATAAGGAGTACTAGGAGAGTGGTTATAATATCTTCTCTCCAAGTGACATTTGGAGAGCAATTAATTGCTCTCTAAGTGTATCCAACTTAGCATAGTAAGTAATACTTGTTGAAGCACTTTGAATTGTTTTCCAAGACAACATGAAATCGCTCTTTAATGCCTTTTTTGGTGTAGTGAAACAAACACTCTAAGATAATTCTTAACCCAAAAACAAATGAGAAGATCTTATCATGTGCTAAAAGCACTTATATTTCATTTAAATTTGTGTCTTATGAGATGTCAATGGTTCTTACTTACAGGCTAAGTGCAATTGATAAATTATATTATATTGATACTTTAGTATCCTTAAAACTATTTCTATGATTACTTCACTATTTTAGGTTAATTTTATTTGTTTAGGTTATTTGGGCCTTAATTAGTAATTCTACCTAATTCTTGTATTTTAGTACTTTTAACCTCTTCTAACTATTTTGATCATAACTTTTTATGTGGGTAGAGCATTTTAGTGATTCTTGTTGCACTAGAAAGTTAACTCAAAGAGCTTTAATTTGACACCTCATTTATTGGATTTGGAATTCTAAGATAAAAATTACAAGCATTTGAAGTTGACCCTCAGATGTTACAAGAATTAAATGTCCATTAATTTGAACTTATTAGCTTGTTATTGTTATTGTTTAGGTATATTTGGGCCTTAATAGTTTGTTATTGCCTCATTAGGCTTTGTAACCTATTTTACTTTATCAACTTATTAATTTAAGTTTAATTTAGGGTTAACCTCTATATAAAGAGAGGAAGTTAGAGGAATTATAGTGATTTTTTAACTTTTTTCTTTTTACATTTTTGTTATTTTTGATTTAGAATTAATTTGAATTCTTTTTTGTTTCTTCTCTTTCTTGCAAATTTGTTTTAACTTTTTTCATGATAATTTTTCTTAAACCTACGTTTGTTTTTACATTTATACCTAATTACACTTTATGGCACATTTTACTTTATGAATTTATTAGCTTAAGTTTAGATTAGGGTTAACCTTTGTATGATGAGGAAGTTAGAGGGATTACATACGTTTTTTGACTTTCTTCCATTTTATACTTTTTTATTATTTATTTAGAATTTGTTTTTAGCTTTTTATGATAATTTTCCTTAAACTTAAGTTTGTGTTAACAATTGTGATGTATGAGTAATTTTATAGATTGATTTATGAATTCAATCCCACAAAGTGATAAAGTAATGTTTTCTATTTTAATTCAATTCAAAATTTTATTTTTTACCTTTTCAATTTTATCATAAATACTTTGAATTTGGTCTTGGATCGTGTCAATATAATTCTAAATAATTCAGGTGTGTTGAGTTCATTACCCGTGCGATCTTAAAATGTTCGAAGATGCCTATTCAATAATTATTCAACAAATTCATATTAAAAACACATGTGCTTTAATTTGAATTCACGAATTGAATTGAGATTGATTTCAGAACCAAATATATTTTGCAGAGTAGAAATCGTAATTCAATTTTGCTTTCAATTTATTTAATTTATGTGTTTTAATTTCTTAATTTGAATTCATGAATTGAATTGAGATTGATTTCAGCAGAGTAGAAATCGTAAGTCAATTTTGCTTTCAATTTATTTAATTTATGTGTTTTAATTTCTTAATTGTGTTTTTACTTGCATTTAAAATCCATCAATTTTCTGTATTTCAATTTTAGCTTTTGTAATTGAGACCCTCGAGAGAATGACTTAAGTTTTTCTCTTAATTTACTACATTTATATTACTTTTTATTTGATCGAGTATGATCAATAACCCATAAAATCAAATCAAAATTGATTTTTAATGGTTACAAAATTGGCTATTGATTGCTAATTCTTTTATAGTTATAAGTCTGAATAATTTCATGATAATTGCATATCTTGTAACTTCTAAAAAAGACATAACTATGACTAAGAAAATTACTTAAAAATTCAAATAAAAAAAATATGAACCTATTTATTGTTTATTAGTGACAAACCATTATATTGATAAATCATGATCTAAAAATGTATCTTAGACGGGCTCTTAAAAATTTTTATTTTTTAAGTAATTCAATTATGATTGAATAAATGTATCTTTAATATTTAAGGAAAAGTGATCCCATTAACCGGAGTTTTTAGCATAAGTTGATTCTTTTTATTTTTATTTTTATCTTTACAATGCTTGATTTATTTAACTTATTTTCACTTTAATCATTGAACTTCTAATTTTTTGTGAAGGATTTTAGTTAATATGGTTGAATCTCTTCATATGGATAAAGCTACTCTTGTATCTATATACCTTTATCTATATCTATTAAATTTTGTATGTATTTTTTATATCTAAATTAAAATCCAATTAATAGATATTTATCCTGTGTTTAGGATGACAACACAAGATTTATCTAAGGTTAGAAAATCAAAGCTTAGCTCAACTCATAGCCTCACTACAAGACAAAAGAGACCAGATAATAGCGACAAAAAGGCACAGAGCTTAGGTACAAACTGAAAAGCACGTACAGTGGCATGGAAGAAAAGTGAGAAGACATTCGCTTCCAACCATGAAGGATAAAAGTATGCAGCTTTTTATTAGTGCATCAATTCCAATGATATGAAGCAAAACGAATGTTCAAATAACCAAAGAGGAATATACGTTTCATTCTACATAATATATATTTTAATAAAATTCAAAAAGTGTCCCGCTCACCTGACTAAAAGTGTACCTATTTTATATTTACTTATAAATATAAGATTTGTTAAAATCCACAGTTTTTAATAAAAGAGAAAATCTATGAACAAAGAGAATCAAACAAAAAATACATAATTCTTAGTTATAATATTACTTGTTCATTTAAATTTATTCCATTCTATTTTCTTCTTATACTTCTCAAGCTTACAATTCCCTCTTTAAATTTATTCCAAAACACCATGTAAGTTATGAATATTATTTTGTGGATACTAAATAAGTATTGGTGTCACATAACAAAGACAAATCCACACCTATTTAAAAATTTTAAAAAGCTCAAATTTTCATTTTCACCCCTTATTCATTCTAACTAAAAAAGGTAACTTTTTTAGATACAATCAAAACTTTTAGTTACAAACAGACAATTTTATTTATTTTCACATATTGTAGTTTATTTAAGTACTATACAAAGTTTTGTATCTTAAGTGCATTAAAATTTTACATGAAATACACACGTCGAGCAATTAAAAAGTGATTTCATCTCCAGCAAAAAATAACAAGAAAATTCCAGAAACCACTGTTTTCATTTGAATAAATCACACAATTATCGTGGTTTCTCTTTCTCATCATAATCCAAGATTCCTTTTCTCATCATAGCGACAAACTCTTCATAATTGATTTTTCCATCCTGCAAATTAGAAGACCAACCATACGTCATAAGTCCCATGGAAGGAAGAGCTAAGAAATTATAACAAAGTCTGACAGAGTATAAACAACTATATGGCATACATTATCAGTATCAACATCATTAATAACTTCATCTATTGTCGCTTCATCTGCCATTTGATATTCAGTCAAAGCTTGTCTAAGCTCATCTCTTGTTATATATCTAAACAAAGTCAACAAAATAGAACTTTAGTTAAGCAAGAGCCATAGAAAAATTTCTTTTAAAATAGTTAAAATTTGATATTAATTAAATTATATGCTCCAACGTCGGGTTACATTCAACGTTTGAATAACTCGCTAATCACTGATTTAATTCATTTTACTTATTTCAATAGGAAACTTGAACCTAATAAAATTTAGCAACATATGAGTAAGAATCAAATTAATTAATACTGACCCGCTGTTATCCTTGTCGAAGTATTGAAAAGCCTTAAACAAATGCTCCTCTTTCTCAAGTTTATGCCGGTTTATAGTGGCAGTAATGAATTCTTGATAGTCAATAGTCCCACTCTTGTCAACATCAGCCTGACCAAACATGTGAAGAAGGAATGGTATATGGAATTATTTATTGATTTTGTTTACAGCAATTTTTAAAGCTGATTTTAAAATATTTAAAAGTTTTTTATAATTTTTTTACCAAAAATAAATTATTTATTACATAAAAATATAAGACAAAGGTAATAAAACATTTGTGTTATAAAAATTTCGTATGCATCGGACTAAACTTACAGCATCCATCAGCTGCCTTATTTCAAATTCACTAAGCTTGGATCCCAATTTGGTCAATCCAGATTTGAGTTCTTCATACGTGATTGTGCCACTGCGATCAGTATCCATGTTGTTGAACATTTGTCTCAAGCCCTTGATTTCCTCCTCTGAAAGGTTTTCTGCTATGACCTTCCATGCATTGAAAAAGAAAATTTATTATTAGAAGGATAGTCAAAATTATATTTTCTAGCTTCTCATAATTTTGTTATACCAAGTTACTGTAACTTTATTAGTACTACTTTCCTTTGCAAAGAATTTCCGTATGTATATATCATGCAATGCTGAAATTTTTGAGGTACCTTCAAAGCAAGTTTCTTCATCTTGTTCATTGCACTGAATTGTTTCATCCTAATTAAGACAGCATTGTCTAGAGGTTTATCAGATGCTTCACCGCCCTCCTTCATCCATGGGTGTTCTGGTTCAATTAAGTAATGTAAGTAACATTAATAACTAAAGTTAATCCATCTAAAACACAACATCATACTAAGCATGAACACTGAATTAATTTTAGATAAATGGGTCTAAATTGTTGTCCACGTCAAACTGGTGGCTGCAAATGATTTTTCATTTGAGAAATGTGGTGATGGTTACGTTTAGAGTTGGATCACATAGTGCACTTGAAAAACCTTTAGAATGTTAGTGAGTGAAACTAAAAACGCATTCACATACTTACCAAGGGCTTCAGCAGCAGTAATGCGCTTCTCAGGGTCATAGTTCAACATTTTTCTTATCAAATCTTTTGCCGTAGCTGAAATAGAAGGCCACGGTGCGCTTTCAAGATCAAGATTACCTTCCAAAATAGCCTTAAATATGCCTGTCTCGGTTTCTAAAAATTTCCCACGGGTAATGTCACTAACCAATAATAGTACTTCTAAAACAATATATATTGTTATCATGAGCTGAAACATAACACGTGAAAGAAGCAAGAAATTGACATAATGTATAAGTCGCTTTTTTATGGGTCAAGAATATATGTCATTAACCAGTCACGTTTTACATTCTTCACATATAAATAAATTATGGTTAGGTCGTGCCCAATTTTCAGTTTATTGATCATGTACTTAATTTAAAACCAACACAAATATGCACGAGTGGCAATAGATTTTCAAATAATCTTTCAACTTGTTTGTGGCAGAATCAGGAGAAACAAAGTCATGCATTACACTTACCAGCCCAAAATGGAGGCACCCCACTTAAGAGTATGTACAAAATGATTCCTGCGCTCCAAACATCAATCTCCTTTCCATAATTCTTTTTTAGAACCTCTGGAGCCACATAGTAGGCACTTCCAACAATTTCTCTATACACTTTACCTGTAGAATTGGTTATTATTTAGTAAAATGCAATCAAAGTTATTCAGACAAGATAACTTAGTTGTATTCGCATTATAAACTATATTATTTAATGTTATTTTATCAATCAGAAATCGGGCACCCAACAATAATGAGATATTTTATCAATCTCCATCATTGTTAATGCAATTATTACGCATTATATTATTGTTAACGATAAGAATGATTTTAAATCCTTCTATATTATATGCTTACAATTTCTCTTCATTATTAAAAAGCTATTATTAATATTTCGTAATCAATTAAGTTATTACAAGAAATTTGAAAGCTATAAAAAAAGTAGGAAACAAAAACATACATCCAATTAATTAGATATTACATACACATTTTTATTTAACATTTTATAAAATACTTACTTTATAATAATACAAAAAGTATTAGAAAGATATAATAGAACTTCTATCGGCAACAGTTAGATTTTAACAAATATCTTTTCTACTATTGTTTTTTAAATCATGAGATGGTATGTTAGTAGCCACTACGATGGTCCACTATCCACAGGTGACTTGGCTTCTTGTCTCATTTTTCTTCTGTTGCTCTATTTTTATAATGGGAAACCGTTTACTCGGTTGACTTGTCATTATCATATATGAAGTCATTTACTTGGTTGACTCCACGTTCCAGATAGTAATAATTGACTTGGTCATATTGGCCCATGACGAAGTATTCATCGAATCATTAACAACTAATTCAATTAAATGATATTTTGGCGAGCTAATTAAGTTATCCAATGCTAAACCTATCTAAATTAAAAAAATAAAAAACCATCTAAGTACACAATCTGAAGTTGGAATCCAACAAGCAAGGTTTCGAATCTTTTTAAAAAGAAAAAGGAGAAGGAAATCGAATTTGAAAATCCAGAGAATGATATCGTGAATGTGAGTAGAAAGGAAAAACGAAAAAATGGAAATGGAAAAGCGCGTGGATTGAAGAAAACGCATCTGAAACTAACCTTCTTCAATGAAGACAGACATTCCAAAATCGGTGGCTTTCAAAGGTGCCATAGGATCCTTACTAACGAGCAAGAAATTTTCGGGCTTGAGGTCCCTATGCATGACCCCCATAAAATGACAAGCATGAACCACATTCACAATTTGTCTAAATATAGAAGCAGCTTCGCTCTCCGAGTAACTACCCTTTGCAGTGATTCGATCAAAGAGTTCACCACCCAAACACAACTCCATCACCAAATGCACGTTCTCCCTATCCTCATAAGCACCCTTGAACTCTACGATGTTGGGTTGTCCCGTTAGGTGCTGAAGGATTATAATTTCCCTCTTTACACCCTCAATTTCCTTCATTCTCCTAAGCTTGCGCCTTGGAATGGACTTGCAAGCATACTTCCTTCCCGTAGCCTTCTCGGTGCAAAGAAGAGTCACACCGAATTGACCGCTTCCCAGTTCCTTCTCAAACGTGTAAAGCGCTGTGATGTCAATGTATGGTTTGCCGAGTATTGGTAATTTATCAGCATACGATGATGATGATGGCGATGAAAATGGGTAACGAGTTGGTTCTTGGGTTCTCTCTGGCAGTGGTGGTTGTTGATGATGATGTGGTGGTACACCATGATCATAGATGATTGGTACTCTGGTGTTGTGGTCGTGGTCGTGTTTGTGGGGTTTGCCGAAGCAGTGCCCCATGTGGAGTGTGATTGTGGAGAGATTGGAGTGGTGATATATGTATGAGTATGACAAAGAATTTGAGATGTGAGAACAAAAGCATAACAAGGCTCGTTACTACTTTCAATTTATGCTTTGCTTTTCCTTTTGGGTTGGGATGGTCCTCACTCACCATAAAGCATCAGTCCTTCCCTTTTGCATCTTTATGCTCTACGCTTTGCTGGAGACACCGTTTTCGTGCTTTTGGGGCTACCAAGGATTCTGCTCATTCTATGTTAGTATGGGTTTCATGTCAAGTCGTTTTATGTTATCTTATGCTATGAGTAATATTATTATTCTCACTTTAAAGTCTTCCAACACTTTTTACAGTTTGGAAAAGATAATAAGCCAAGTGAAACAAATTCTATACGAAAATAAAATAGGTGATGAGATAAAATAAAATAAATGTTATAAAACCGTGAAGACGAAATAGTATTATTTTAAAAATTATTTCATATGTTTCATTTGAAGTTGTTTAATAGTAAATTACTATAATCTTCTTACTATTTTATACTTCTTATAAAAAGAATTATTTTTAAAACTTATACAAAAGTCTCTTTATTTTTAAAACATACACAGAACACGCGCCTTCTATTTTAAAAATACGTTATATAAATTCCTCCTATTTTTCAACATTTCAAAAGTACTCCTCATATCTTATAAATGTTTTACAAATAAACTCGCGTAATAATAAAAAAAAATCGGAGCAACAACTTTTTTATATATTCAAAATAAATAAAATTTAAATTATTTGTTATAAAAAAGGAGTATTCCTTAAAACATTTTAAAACACCTATAGAATAATTTGAGAGCATATAAATATCTTTTTAAGCATATAATAATTTTAAATTTTTATTATAACATGAGATGAATTGTAAAGAATTACAAATATTAGATGGTATTTTGTAAAAAAAAAATACAAATAGAAAAGAAGTAAATTAACTTACTTTAAAAATAAGATAATTTTGTGTATTTTAAAAAAAATTCTAGAAATGCAAAATAAAAGAGAGGTTAGAGTAATTTACCCTAAGAATAAAAAAGATTTTGTGTAAATTTAAAAAATAGAAAAAATTTGTAAGAAGTTCAAAATAAAAATAAGATTAAAGTAATTTACTATTAATTTTATTAGCCGTTTATACGTAAAAATCAACTCATAAATGACTTACCAAATGACTTGATTTACTTTCAACTTACTGCCAATGTAAAGAACTTGTGAAATGCTTTCATTCACTTTTATCGAAAAAAAGAAAATTTTTTGAGTGATCTGAAATTATATGGTCTCAACTACTCACACTTTAATAAATATCTACTTTTTTACAAAAATTATATAAACATCATATTATTATTATTAATCAAGACTATGATGATTGGAAGCATGAAAAATTTTATCCTTTAAAAGACTTAATGCCGCGCTCAACCACCAAAATATACAACCTAATTTTTTCAGCAAATTCTGTCGTCTGCGAATATTTTCTATTTTATTCCGCGTAGCGAGTCAACATACCCGTGTAACACAGTCAATATTCTACTCTCTTTGAAAAGGAAAAAAAAAAAAAAAAACTCAACTTTTGTCCAGAATTATTCAAATAAAATCAGATTTTAAAATATTTTACAAAGAGAAAATTTTAAGTTAATTTCTTAAGAAGATATCTTAGAAAGAAAATTTATCCAACAAATTTAATTTCCAAAATTTTCTTATGACATTTAACATTGAGTTCAAAGGAAATTCACTTTTATAAGTTTTTTTAACATATTTTTAAATACAACGTGTATAAGATTCAAGAATTTCATATTGTTCAGAACAAATTTGGGTTAGCTTTTAGGTCTCAGTCTTCTAGCCACTGGCGCTTTATGACTCAAGTCAACACCAATGCACAAGGTATAATGTCATTACTGCTAAAATACGTGACATTTTAAGGAAACAAAACTGTTATATTTAAATTAGGCTTCATGAAATTATTTTTTTTATTTACATTACTAAAAATTAATGCTATATATATATAGATTTATTTATTTTTTACTTTTTTCTGAATTTTATTATATTATTTATTTATTTTAATTAATCTTTTTATTATTTTATAATTAAATACACAATAAAAAGTACAAATATTTATTATGAATTTATTTTAAATACACTAATAATCTAAATATTTTTTTACATTTTCATTAAATTATTAATAAAAATTATTAATTATATAATATTTAATATAAAAAAACATATCCATGACATATTCTAATTAATTTGTTGAAAATATAAAAAATTATATTAATAATGGACCAAAATTAAATCTGTTTATTATTTTAGAAATATATAATATATTTAATATTTTATTAATTTAATTATTAAAATAACATAGAAATAAAAGGTGAAAAAGATAAAAAAAAAATTGTTTATATGCACACATCTCAAAATATACCTTTAAAGTTAAAAGGTTAAAAAAAAAAAAAACAGCTAAAGATATCTTTCTCAAAACGTGGAGACATCATTTTCCCAAAAGGAACACATCAAACACAGTAACTAAGTCAGCATCAATGTTCAACAAATAACTCTGAATTTTCTTCCAATTTCTTTTTAATTTTACTAATCTCCTAAAATAATGAGCATTTGAAATTTTTAAGATCAAATTTATTTATTTTTTATTTAATATGTTCTTTAGTTAATCCACTTTGAGCAACCATGTGGCAAGATGAACTATAAAGATTGAGAGGGAAAAGTGGAAAAATGAAAAGATAAAAATGCAAGCAGAAGTAAATAAGGTAGGAAACAAAATAAAAGGAAGAAAAAACAGTGAGGAAGCAACTAACTAATAAATACTAACCTTCGTCGATGAAAATGGAGAGTCCAAAATCAGTAGCTTTGACTGCGGCATACTCATCCTTAGTGGCAAACAAGAAATTCTCTGGCTTAAGGTCTCTGTGTATTACACCCATGAAATGACACACATGAACCACATTCACAATCTGTCTCATTACAGTGGCTGCTTCACGTTCAGAGTAGTTCCTATTTTCAGCAGCACGGCTAGTGATACGGTCAAAGAGTTCACCACCACTGCACAACTCCATCACAAGGTGCACGTTCTGCCTATCTTCATAAGCACCCCTGAATTCCACTATGTTGGGTTGCCCTGAAAGATGCTGAAGAATCATAACCTCTCTTCTAACATCATCAATTTCTTGTTCACTCACCAGCTTCCCTCTTGAAATGGATTTGCATGCATACTCTCTTCCTGTGGTCTTCTCCACACACAAATAAGTAACACCAGACTGGCCTCTTCCCAGTTCCTTCTTCATCTCGTATATCTGATTTATGTTAACGAACGGTTTCCCAAGAATTTTTCCTATTTGTGAAGAGGTGGTACGTTTGGGAGGAGGAGGTGGTGGAGCTGGAATTGTTAATGGTTTGGTTTTCCTAGATTGTTTCGAGGGATGCTGAGGAGAAGAATCTGACGAGACTATGGCAATTTCATGGGACTTGCCACAGCAAAAAAATGCCTTAAAGAGCCCCAATCCCATTCTCAGTGTTGTTTGATGAAAAGTTATGTTTGCTTTGCTATCACCATCTGTGCGATCTGGTATATATATATATATATACATATACATGATCATTTGCTTTGATATGATTGATTAGTGTTGCCAATTATTTTGGTGCTTTTCTTCTTCCCTTGGATTAGTGGCCAGAATATAATAATTTGTACGTATGTTTTTGCACCTTTGTGCTTTGGATTAGAATCGATTCCATTACTCTTCCCTTGGTATTGGTACGACTAAGAGAGAAAGATTTGCATTTAATTGAAAATGTTCAAGGCTTTGGAATGTCATGAACGCTTCGCATCTATATATAGGTTTTCATTTATGCACAAGAAATTGTAAATAAACATTATTAAAAGTTTGTAATACTGTTTTAAATTATCGATATAACAGGTCACTAAATTAGTGTCAATTTTGGAGTGTTTAATGGCAACTGTAGAGTGTCGTTAACAACACCTTTAATAATGATAAAACTAATTATAAAAAATAAACGTGATAACTATGATTGTTTTATAATTCTTTAAAAAAAATATTTAAATTTTTAGGACTGAAATATTTTACTTGTAAAACTTTTTTTAAGTTTATTATCTTATTTAATTTCAGATGTTATATGTATCTCCTACTACTTGTTAATACTTTTAAGTACTTTTTTTTTTTATTTAAATCATTTGTTACTTGACTTGAGAATTAAGGGTGGCGAAATCAACCAGTTTATCATGTGAAAAACTTGTCACAAAATGGATTAATTTATTCTGTCTTTTAAAGTGAGTTATATTTTATAGTTCAGTCCGTGAACTAATAGGCTAATGTGTTTGCTTGTTAAAAATAAATAAATTGGTTAGTAAATCAATAAGTTAATAGCTAAAATTAATATAAAAATAAAAAATTAAAAAATCAATAAAAACTTATAAAAGGCATTAAAAAAAATAATACTTTTATATAAACCAAAATTAATATTTAGTTAAAAAATATTTTTTATTTTTTAAAATTCAAAAGGTAAGTCCAATGCAATTGGCCTAAGTTTTTTAGTGGGCAAAAAGAGGCCGAGTTAGACAACCCATGGTTTGTAAATCTCCACTTCTACCATTTTTTCAGTTATGCGGGCCTACTTGTCAAGTTCAGCCCACTTTATGTTTATACACTTATTTTGAAGTTAATACATAATAAAATATTTTTTAATTTAATTTATTAAATTATTAAATTATTTAATTTAATACCAAATATTTAGTTTATGTAGGTTTCAAAAGTACACTAAACTTAAAATATTATAGAAAATATATTATAAAAAATTTATATTATATTTTATTTATAATTTACTCATGTTTTTCCAAATTATTTTTTATAAATATAATATTACAAATATAAAATATAAAGAAACTCATGTAGTGTACAGCCTACAGATATTATCCTTATTCATAATTTATAAATCTCACAATTATAGGGATAAATTACTATTAATGAAAATTTATTAAAAAATAAAATTTACCGCTAATATTTTTATTAATAGTAAATAATTTATGATAAGCATATGTTTATCATTATATGTAAAATTGTAGTGACAACATATAATTTTTTTACTGTTTAAAAAATATTATTGATAAAATAAAAATGAATTATAAATATTAAACATTTAATAACAAATTTTATACTCATTAATTATTAAATTTAATCATGAAAATTATATTTCTAGTAACGGCGACCTAATCTCTATTTTCTATTCTTGAGTTCTACTGTCGTGTGGCACTAGGCCGTGTGGGAAATGTTTAATGTTCTTGTAATGTCGTTCTGTAAAGAATTTTCATTTTTTGTCTATTGTGTAGGTTTTTCTGAATAACATAGCAGGAAATGGGTAAAGACTTCTGAAACGTTGATGAGACATTTCCCCTACTCCTGAAGCCAACGAAAGCCTATATTTTTCTAATATTATTCCATTATGGGTTGGCCACATAATTCATACAATAATCTTTGTAAACTTTTAAAAAAACTGGTATAAAATAAAAAAATTTTATAAATTAAAAATAATTTTTATTTGTCTAATTTTTAAAAAGTTCTCATGATTAATTTGTTTAAAGTTAATAAAATAAATTATTTCTAATTTATAAAATATTATTATTTTTAAAACTATTTTTTATAGGAAATTTTGTAAAAGTTTATTTGGATCATTTCTAGGACCCCAACTTGTAGACAATAGAATATAAAGTAACATAAGAGCGAACTGAAGGCAACTAAAAAGAAATCATACCTCTACTAAAGTGATCTAGTCTCTCTTTATCTCCTTTTTTTTGCATGATGATGTTGGCTCTTGTTATAGAAGACTCTGTGGGGGACAAGTTAAGGTTAACAAAAATGACTTAGCTATATCTCATTTGCTTTTTATTGGGGATATTTTTTTTTATTTGCCAAAGCTAAAAGCTTTCAAATAAGAATCATAAAGAAAAATTTTGATCAGTTTAGTGCTATTTTTTATCTAAAGTTAACTTAATAAAATCTCAGGTTTATGTTTGTAGGTAAGTGTACCCGTTGAAAAGTAATAAAGAAATTTTTATAAATAAAGTTTTCAAGTTATCGTCCCACAAAGATTATTTTCTAGTACTAAGAATACCTTGATTCAATTGTTTAAAAACAAGGAAGTGTGATGGATTAAAAACAAGACTTAATGTTAACAATTAATTGAAGAGAACAATAATGCAACATATGAGAGAAATCGAATGAAATGAGCCTAGAACTTATGGTTTCACCTATTACACTTCTTTATGTTCTAATTATTTTAACCTTGGTATTGATATCTGAATATTTTTCAACCACTCATACTAGTTCTATTAACACTCAATGATCATGCAATATTAATATTCTTTTTCATGAGCAATCACCCCCAATGATCATGCAAAGAAAATGGTAGAAAAAGCATAAAAACCCTATGAGTTTGTTAATTAAATAACGGTTGAAAGAGAAGAATTAAGTGTGATTAACCTAACTCCTTGTCTCGTTTTATCCTATAGTT